AATTCCATCAATTAAATAAAGATTATCGTAACCTGATAAAGAACCGAAACCAACTAATTTTGAATCATGAAACAAATTGAATTTTCCATTCATAAATGAACAAGATAACTAAATTCGTTCAAAGTAGAAATAGAAATCAAATTTCGTCTTAAAGACGGCAAAATAAATGTTTCATCAAGATCCAAATGAAATCCAGTCTTCAACAATAATCTAAATTTCCCTATTGCCTCTACTTCTACCGTCTTGCCATCACCAACATAGATATATTTTTCACCGTCACTTGATTTTGGCAACTCAGGCAACCTTGTATAGACATATTGATATGAGTTGTTGCACCAGAATCTATCCACCATATGTGTGTAAATATCAAAGTTAAATTAACCTCATAACATACCAAATGAAGAAGAATATCTTTCTTCACACGCCATACATAATAATTGGTACAATTCTTCTTCTTATGACTTACAGTTCCACAAAAGAAACAACCACCCTCAGTTTGTTCTTTATGCTGTTTCTTTTGCGATGCTGTACCCACATCTTCCTTATCAGTTTTCCCTTTTCCTTTATACCTCACTGAAGTAAAGTTTGCGAAAAGTATACTAGTTTCAACATTTTCATTCTTGGCAAATCTCTTCTCAAGATCCTTAAGGAAAACCTTAGCCGTATTTACTTTATTAGACATAGTGCCCCGAAATGGTTTTAGATTAACACGTTTCATGATCATTAAGTTTATGCAGTTCGATTTTTCCCACTTTTCCATCTCCCTCTTGCCATTAGAGGTACTCTCATCTGTAAGTTTAGTAGGTTAATCGATCCGTAAAGTGAGGTCTAGGTCCATGACTCTGAGAACGATCAATACATTCTCTTGCTATACCTTGAAGTTCGTGCCATTAAAGATTGAAATTGAGTTGATGCTAGTAGAAATATTAACAGTAGAACTTGAAACTGAATTAGAGAACAATTATTACGAATGGTTCACATGAATATCTTTAATATGCACATAACAATAATATTCTCAAATAATGGTAGGACTCATCACAAGATACATAGCACAATATCAATATCTAGTTTTCGAACAGAAATATTGACTTGTAAGTGGTACTCTTGGTGTAGTGATTAAACATTGAAAATAAAATAATGTGTCAATCAATAAACCTTTCTTTGGATTAATTTATTAATCACACATTAAATCAAATAATTGTTACATATTTATCACCATAGGTGCACGTGTATTCGACTAAATATTGACCTTCCTTTGAGCTGATCAATATTTCTATGAATAACACATGCACAAACACATTTTAATATTCTAAGTTAATTAATTTCCATAAGAAATGTTGCTTTGCCAACATGTTGCTTCAATTAATTAATTTTCGAACATTATATCTCTTAAAGGAGTCCTTAGTACCAAAATTGAGAAAGAGAATCGCCAATTTTGCATATTTTGTTTAGTTTTAAAATTTAGGGGCCGTAGGGTCAATAATTCAAGACTTGAGGGGTGCAAAATTAATTAATTCAAAACTTTAGGGGCCAAAATTAATAAATTTAAAACTTTAGGCGCCAAAAATTGAACAATTCAAAACTTTAGGGATCAAATTTTAAAAAAAATTGAAACTTTGTGGGTCAATTTGAATTAATTATAAACTTGAAGGACTTTAATTATAAATTTCAGAACTTTGATGGCCGAAATTAAATAATTTTCAAACTATAGGGACTGAATTATTAAACCTAAAACTTAAGGGCCCAATTGGACGAACTTTAAAATATTAGGGACTTAATTCTTAAAATTAAATTCCTAACCCTAATTGCAAGATGGGGCCTCAAGTAATTCAATTTTCAC